GCATGACATTAAAGTAGCAACACGGGCCGCGGCTGCCGTGCGCTTGGCACGAGGAGATCCAAACTCAGGGCCAGATGGGAAGACACCACATCTCTCCTGCGTGCCAGGAGCAGTAGCTACAAACCGGGAGCGTCCGGGGTTTGCCGTTAGTTCGTACCAAGTTCATCCTCGTCACAAACCACCGTAGTTAGGAGATCGGGGAGACGGCGCGTGCAGTGCCGCCTTTGACTCGGGGAAGAAGAGAAAGGAACCAATATTGTGTATTTCAGATATATAAATATATATAAAAGTACAGATTGACATTTATATTTTTAACTGTGCCCGTTCCCTCCCTGTGCACGCTGCGTTGGGCTGCTGTCAGTTTGCTGTCACTTGATGGAAGAGAGGACCAGGGACTGGCTGAGGAGGGGATCGGTGTGTTAAACCCGACGCTGCCAGGGCCAGGGGCACAGGAGGCACCTGCAGAGTGTAATTACGCCGCTAGTTTCTTGAATAGAAGCAGTTGAATTTCAAAGCCTGATTCTGCGTGTGTCTTTGTTCTGGGGGTGGTGGATACGGGCTTGATCGCTTGACCTTCACCCCATGGCAAGGTCAGGGCTCTGCCTCTGCTCGCGGGAGGAGTAGGAGGAGGTACCTCAACAGGAAGGTGTGCAAGGTTAGGGCAGGGACTTACACATAAGTCAGTCCTCTGCAAACTCAAGCCCGCCCTCAGGCACAGGCCAGGCACCCAGCAGCACCACTTCCAAACATTTTTCACAGAAGAAAACACAACCACAGAATTAAAAGTGATGTGGGATGATGTGCCTTTTGATGATCCCCAGCTGGCATCAGGAGCAGATAGTCAAAACACAAGCAAGTGAATGCTCACCGTGCAAGCACCCTCACGAGCTGTCAGCTCTTCTAAAGCAGCTTCAGCTTTAGGGCTTGTGAGTCTTGCAAGCTCTAATGATTACAGAAACAATTAAAAAAAAAAAAGGAGTTATAAAGTGCTTTCTATGTGCCTTATCGCATGCAGGACGGGCGTAAAAATGAGACAGAAAATACTGTCATTTAAACTCCATTCTAGTCTATTAAACCACATTATAAGGCTAAAGGAAATCAATAGAAGTTTTTTTTTAAACACCACAATTTCAGTAAGTTAGAAGTTTTATTAACAAGTTTAAAAAATACTGTGACAAACAGCAAGATTTTAAAGATCTGGCCCAGACTTGAAGCACAACAAGAAGACACCAGCAAAACTGCCCCACGCCTGAAAGGAAGGAAATAGCATGTGTAAAGCCACTGCTGGTGCAAAATTTTCTGGAAAGCTCAGTATTCATGCTCTGGGGGGGTTAACAGAGCCCACATGAGGGCACGGGCTGCTGCTGGCACTAACTAAACCTCAACTCTGTCCCTCAACCCCTTCCACCTTCTAACATGAAGTCCTTTCCTGCCTATAGTAAGCAGGGCACAGATTATTCTGCTTGCTCCCCTCTTTTTGAGGTGCACTGGGTAAGGGCATGGTGCTGATGCACAGGGCATTCCCTCCAAAGCACTGAGTTTTAATATAGTTTCTCATTCCAATTGTGAGACGTTTCCCGCAGCTATGGAGTTCTGCGGCACCAACCGCAGAGATCAGCACTGGAACAAACATGCAGCACAGTGCTGAGGAAAGACGACCTGCAACAACAGACACCAGGAAGCCTCAAGAAAACGTTGCTGCCAAGATTCAAAAAGGGCCAATCACTCCTTGGGGGTTTCCAGCAGCAGGGCTGCAGTCCACGGAAAACATCTGCACGTCAAGATCACTCCCAGCAGGCAGAGGAGCTCGGGGAGGCACACTGCTGAGGACAGCCGGGGTGGCTTACGGTGCTCCATCCACGCTTTCTGCGGCGCTGCTGAAGGAGCGGAAGGCTTTGTGCAGGGCCACGCGGCGAAACAGGTCCGAGTGAGCTGCTGCCGTCTCCACTAGAGATGCGGGAACGTCCGCTGACAGGAGAAGCGGACGGATCAGTGAGGAAAGGAAAATCGTATTGCCAGCATAAAACTATTTGCTTCTCATTCTTCCCTCATCCCCAGGGAGTTTTTCAGTCTCCCTTGCCAGAAAGTTTTTTCTTCTCATAACCCTCCTCTCTCCTTCCAAACCTTTCGCATCCTGCAGCTCCCCTATGGGATTTGAGAGCGAAAGCGCCTTAAGAAACACCCACTGCTGAAGGGCAAGGACAATAAAACATGGGAGCCTCAGCCACCCAGTTGCTCTCTTAGCACAGAAAACACTGACATTTGTGAGCAAAGGCAGAACTTCACTTATAATGGGATGGCTACTGTGGGGAAAGGCGAGGAGGAACTGTTGATACAGTACATGACCCCTCCTCGAGCCCAACAGCAAGCCAAGGAGCACCATGGTTAGGTTCAGCTCACAGAAGCAGGCCTGAAACTGTGATTGATCACAGAATCATTTAGGTTGGAAAGGACCTTTAAGATCGAGCCCAACCGTTAACGCAGCACTGCCAAGCCCACCACTAAACCACGTCTCTGAGCACCACATCTAACACGGCTTTTAAATCCCTCCAGGGACGGTGACTCCACCACCTCCCTGGGCAGCCTGTTCCAATGCTTGACCACTCTCTCAGTAAAGAAATTTTTCCCAATATCCAATCTAAACCTCCCCTGGTGCAACTTGAGGCCATTTCCTCTTGTATCATCACTTGTTGCTTGGTAGAAGAGACCAACCCCCACCTCACCACAACCCTCTTTCAGGCAGCTGTAGAGAGCGATGAGGGCTCCCCTCAGCCTCCTCTTCTCCAGACTGAACACCCCCAGTTCCCTCAGCCGCTCCTCATCAGACTTGTGCTCCAGACCCCTCCCCAGCTCCGTTGCCCTTCTCTGGACACGCTCCAGCACCTCAATGTCCTTCTTGTCGTGAGGGGCCCAACACTGAACAGTGTTCGAGGTGTGGCCAAAATGAGAAGATCAATCCCCTCATCCAGACTGTTGATAAAGACATTAAACAGTACTGAGCCCTGGGGAACACTGCTGTGACCAGCTGCCAACCACAAATTCTTTGGGCTCAGCCATCCAGCCAGTTTTTTACCCAGCCAAGAGCACGCCCGTCCAAGCCATGAGCCGCCAGTTTCACCAAAAGTATGCAATGGGAAATGGTGCCAAAAGCTTTACTGAAGTCTAGGTAGACAACATTCACAGATAGCAGAGAGAAGAGATCACTAGTCCCCGCTGCTCTGTTCAGAGCTCCATCTAGCTGCACGTTGGTCCACGCGCTCCACAGCCCAGCCAGCCAGCCGTGAGCCGGTGTAGCTGGAAACATCTAAATAGTTCTTCAGCCCAGTTTGACATTTGTTGTGACCGGTTAGAAAATAGTGCACATCCAGGATTACGCCATGCCACACTGTTAGGGCTGCACAAGACACCCAGCATTGTGGCCAGTCTTTGCCATACCGGGAGGAGGGAGCGTTACCGACACAGAGGCAGCGGAGCAGGTGGTGTCAGGGAAAGATTTTCAGGCAGAGATCCTTTGTTACAAGTATTTACATCTTTGTTACGAGCAGCCCATCTTTCTGAAGTGATCCAAGCTTGCGCTCACACCTTTCCTTTTTCAGCCCCATATTTCCCCCACTACAGCCGCCCCATCTCGCCAGTATTGCAAGAGATCTGTGCTCTTGTGCTCTAACTACTTACTACAAGATCCAGCACGATTGCACACAACCCCTTCTTATAATCTTTTCTCCCTCAGAAATATGACAGCTCACTCCCTCTAGTCCCCAAACTCAACTAGAAAGAAACCCCATCTGTCTGCAGAATCACAGCACAGTCTGTCCACCCCACACCCCCAGACAGACCCCCTGCACCACCCACTTACGTCTGCAGGAAACGATGACGTCAGTGGGGAGGCTGCAACAGAGATCTCCATAAAGCAGCCTCGCGTTGAACAGAAAGGTCTTGCTTTTACTTGACATGTTGTAATTAAAGACCAGTAAGTTACACAAGGAGTTCCTCTGCAAGGTTCCTTCTATCTGGTCTGAAAAGTGTTCCTGGAGGGATAAAGACATGAAAACTAGGAAGCGATTCCACCAGTGCAGTGCCCGCACCCTCCATACCAGCCTGGCATGCCTATGTGCTCTGAGGTGGCTGTACATCGAACAAGCCTTGTGTGGGAAAGACTTAAATAAACAAATGCTTATGCACACCCTTAAGCCATGTCCTCCAATGGCTTTTTGTCCTCCGATGGCTTTTTACAAGATCACAGCTATTTCAGCTTAGGGACTTCCAGAGGGGAGGACAGCTTTGTGTTTAGCAGTAAATTTTAAATGAGGAAGATGTTCAAGTACGTGACAATCGGATGAAATGGGCAACTGAGTTTATAGTCACACGAGAATTTGTGAAGTTCCAAAAAGCAGAGCTCTGAGTGCTCCACGTTAAGAAAACTGCCAAGATTCCACCCAGCACTTCTGAGACTTATAATGTGGTACATCAAAGGGAAAAGGACAGGTGAACAGCATTGCTAGGGCCACTGGTACCTGTAACTGGTCTGCCTGGTACCTCCTCCCTGTGTAAGCGTTCAGGTGGTCCAACAGGACAGACAAGAAGCGCCTGATGTCCGTCTGCAAGTACTTCTTGGCGATCTGCTCCAGCGGGATGAAGATGGGGATGGAGTGGCGGTGAATCTGCACTTCTGGCTTGGTGATCAGGTCCAGGTAGTAGAAATCCAAGTAGGTGCCCTCGTAAGCCGTGCTGATGCAGAAACACACCCCTCGCTTGGTCAGCTTCCCACTGATCCCTTGGGTCCAGAGAGAGGGTTTACTGAGCACTGCTCTAACTCATCACCGCCCGGCAGCTTTGCTGGGGCAACGCAGACTGCAAGGGGGGCTGAGTCCTCTTGCTACACTAGCTCAGGGAGCTCCCTCAGAGGATTAAAAGACTTGCAAGAGTGTAAGGACATAAAACACAGCAACTTTGTAATAAGGGACCTCTAACAAGTTCAAGCAGCTTAACGGTAGGTTAAATTCCTGATAACTGAGTTATGCTGCCACTTCCAAACACAGTTCTAGCTCCAGCACAACAGTGAGAACAGGCTGCCCTGGGTGGAGGAAGGCAGCACTCCACTGCCCCAAGGAGAGCATCAGGAACGCTCACGGGTGGGCTCAGCCCACTGGCATCAAGGCAGGACTTGCATCCCCACACTGTCTGGAACACAGAGCAAAGGCGATTCTCATTGGAAACAAAAAAAAAAATTTAAAAGTTCAGGGGCAGATGAAAAGAGGGTACTGGCCTCACCAGCTTGCTTGGAAGACCTGAACCACGGGATATCTAAGTGCCTAATTCCCAAAGATTGAATTCAGAAGGTAGTTACACATTTTCCACAATCTAGACCTCAGTCTAAATGATACAGTTGAGTAAATAATAGCTCCTGCAACACCCCAGAGATCTCCTGCAAACAGCAGGGAGTTACAAGGTTACTGCTCTTCCAGCATTTTCAGACTCCAAAGGCTCCAAGCACAACAGCAGCATCGTTAACAGGGAAGTTGCCCTTGACATCGGGCTCATTTTGCAAAATTTAGCACCACAGAAATGCAGCCATTGTCAGAACACAGGCAAATCTCAAGACATTACCTGTGAGGTAAAAGACCTGCAGCATGGCCTTAACGCTTTTTATCTTCCACTCTAAAACAGCCTGAGGACTGGGCTGTGCTGGATCTGACATGACTCCTTCTTTCCCAAGTTGCTACAAAAGCCAGAAGAGAAGAGAGGTCAGAAAACTGCTGACGTGAACGTGTCACCTGCATGGAACACAGTCAGGCTACAGAGAAATAATAGCCTGCCTGTGAGAAAAGCAAGATGGCATTTCAAGCAGAAGATGGGAGAAATGAAGCAGAAGAAGGGGAAAAAAACCTCAAGAAAAGAGTTCAGAAATGGCCACACAACCTCCAAGCAAGTACACCCAGCAGTTCTGGACTACATGCTACTAAAAACAGAGGACACCAGGACTGTATGTCACTGAAAAGACAGAATAAAAAAATAATAGTTGACTCTACACGAATAATCTCAGTAAATCTACCCTCTGAGAGCAGGAGCACACCAGAGCCTCTGCCAGATCTCTGCAGCAAGCCCTTTCTCACCTCCTTTTGTTGCAGGTCCACTTTAGCCTGCAGCTCATCCCTCTGGCGTCTCAGGTCCTCCACTCTGGCTTTCAGCCTGGCCAGCTTCTCTTCTTGCTGTTCCATTTCCTCTTGCTTCATGGCTGCCTCATAAGCCTGTGCCTCCAGCATTTCCAGGTGAGTGAACAGCCCTGCGAGGAAAAGCACGACCAGCTCAAAAATCCAGGCTGTGATTATTAACGGTCTGCAGTGCGGTACCCAAAACAAAGTAAGTCCAATGTAGATACATAAATAACTTACAATAACTTTTCAAAGGGGCGGAAGGCAGGCAAACATCTGGTAAAGAGGTTTCGGGGAGTTTTAAACAGCGAGGCTGAGTGCCAGCAGACCCTAAATACCAGGGTGCCGCACACCAGCTAGCCAGGCTCCGGAAAAGCAGAGTAAGCTAGCAAACGGACCAGTCCTGATCCCAAGAGACTTGCAACTCCCAGTTTTACCTCTAACCCATAGCAAAGTGAAGTAGCTTGGTATGGGGGCTTCGGAGAAGTAGCAAAGTGACTTCTTCGAAGCCCCCATACCCCTAAAGCGGCCACACTGACTCAAGGCACAACTCAAGCCAGGGAGGTACTTCTGGCCCCAAGCATTTCGGGGTTCGTTCCTACAATAGGACACACTTTGCGCTTGGACAGAAAGCGGTCCCTGCAGCCCAGGCAGCTCACCATCTGGTGAATACACCTTCCCTGCTTCCATCTTCCCTTGCTGCTCTCCTGCGAGTGGGAAGGCAGCTGTCAGCCCTCCCTGGCCAGGCTCCATCCCTGGGGAAGCGGCGACGTGGGCACAGCGAGAGCTCTTCCTCAGGAAACCTTCCTCTTCCTCCTGCTGCTACAGCGGGACTGCGGGAAGCGCCGAGGACAGGGCTAGCACCCGGGCCGGCCCACGCAGGGACAATCCCACGGGCCGATGGCTGAAATGACACGTTATAACCCATCATTTTCTATAAGCCACCATTTCACACCAGCCCCACAGGGAAACCCCCCAGGAGTGCAGGCAAGGAAAGGGTTCACAGGCCTC